TTGCTAAAGTTGCCCTTCGCAAGGGTTCTAGCGACATGCATGCGTGACACCTCTATCCCGCCGCCTGTTGTTTTTCAGTTCCTTGTGCTTACTTCCCGTTGTGTTGTTGCAACACATGTTGCCTGACAGGACCCCAACGCGGTGGCGGATGTGGTGGCGGCGTCCTCGACAGTCGTATCCCACGTCATTCGTTGGCTGCAGCGGGACGGGTCCATGCTCAAACAGTACCCCGATGTGAGCACCATGCACCGCCGCCACCGCCACTGGCACACTTCCTCTCACTTCGGCTCACAGCCCCGCAGGGCACAGCCTTCGGATCGAAATGAATTAGTCCATGACCCCATGGGGCGTGGGATTTATGTTCTTAGAGTGCCTTCGCCACGTGTCCTACTAAAACAGCGAAACCTGTGATGGCGATCGAGGCGCCTGCGTGCGTGACCGTTGGGGCTTCTCAGGCGCGGAAAGCAGACCAACGCCGCTGCCTTTCAAATAATATTCTTTCCCAACTTTTAAGACGATTTTACCAGCGAGGAGGATTTATTCTTCTCCTCCTCCTCATGCTCTCCTCATGCTCCAGATGGCAACTTGATGAATTCCTTAGTGTAGAATAAGTTTTGACCCTTCCCCTCGCCCCCCTTCTCGCGTTTATTCCCACCCGGCCCACGCGCCTCACGCCTTGCATAGCCGTCCCTCCCTCTGCCCCACTGGCTGCACCTTCTGCGGCTCAGGCGGTACTTCAACTCGCCACAGATACCCCGGTGAACAGCCTGGTCTCCAAGGCCGCGCTCAGCTATCACCGCCGACCAGACGCGCTGCTCATCAACAAGGATGCGGGTTGGCCGTCCAATCTCATGACGCTGGAGAATTCCGACTACCGGGTTAACTCTCTGGTGCGCACTGTGGCAACATGGGAGTTGAGATGGCTAGTTGAGAGAGTAGGCTGCTAGAGTTGAGGGTTGCTAGAGGTTGCTAGAATGCAAGGAAGCAGCCTGGGGACCTCGGTGTAGACATATGCACGTAAGTGTAATGTTCTTTTTTTTGCAGTGACCTTATACATCTGGTCATAATTGAGATACAAGTTAAAAGTTACAAGTTCCGCATACACACGTGGGGGGGTGTCCGTAAGAGCTTCAGGGGAGCCCCCTGGACGGTAGATTGGTATTGATGCGGGTATGGGGGGGGCCGCTGACCTCCCAGAGACTTCCAAGAGGTACCTGGCCAATGCCGAGGGCGGCGCCTCGGTCATAATGGTGCGCATGCTGTGGCCTTGGAAAACGAGGTTGCTGTTGTACTTAGCCCATGTGTTCGTGTAAGTGAGGCGTTCCGCAGAAACATGCAATTCGTCTTGCAAACGCTGGGGCATTGCATTAAGGACGTCTTACTCGCATCTGTGGCCCTGGACGTCCAGGTTGAAATCTGTCTGACGTCTGGCATCTTGGCCTTCTGTACGCTGTCTGAATATGTTTATTCATGGCCCTTATTGACCCTTGGCCATCTGCCACCGTATTGCATACGCTTTGCACTGTTGCGCTGCAGGCATTCCTGCCGAAGGATCCCAACAGCAGCAGCAGTCTGCGGCTAGTGACGGGCGCTGACGACGGAGTAGTTCGGGTGTGGGACATGCGCTCCGGCGACTTACTATTCGCCATGCAGCCACCAGTTCAGGTATATGCGGTGAAGGGCCATGCGGGTGGGTGGAGTGGCGGGAGAATTCAAGCCCTTTGAGACCTTTTTTACAGATGCGCCGACACACCCACACCATTACTGCACCGCCTTCTGCCCCACTAACGATCAACCCATTACCTGGTTCCCGCAGTCCCCGGGTTAATAACCTGGATGCCCGCTTGTCCTCCGGCATGTTGTCCTCCACTCTCTGAAAACCACCCCTATCAGGCGTACCAGGGAACTCTTGCCGCTGTGAAATGCATTGCGGTGGCGTCCATGCCTGATGGCAATACACAAATTGTCAGTGCTGGCAAGGACCTCGCAGGTGAGGCCTGGGAAGGGAAACCTGGCGTCTAGCTCTCTCTCTCTCTCTCTCTCTCTCTCTCTCTCTCTCTCTCTCTCTCTCTCTCTCCTTTTCCTGTTCCCTCTCTCCCCGCCGTTCTTTCCTCCCTTTTTTCGTTCCTTGCCGTTTGTATGGACGCGCGTGCGCAAGCTTGTATGTTTGGTAGTGGAAAAGGACAAGGACACAAGGCTAAGCATCGTGGCAGTAGGTGGACGAAGGACCTTGTCCATCAGCATGCTGTTTGTGTAGTAAAACCCCTGCTTCCTGAAGCACTCCCGGCATTCGTTCCCACATTGCCCCACACTCCACACTCCGCGCAACAGTGTCCGGATTCTGGATCCCGGATCCAAGTTTCATCTGGATTCCTTTTTACGTGTCCAACATTCTTATGCATTTTCCCGCTTCGGCATCCCAGCCTTCAGGAGGCATACTCTTTAGCATGCATAATCTAGCATTTTCAACACACTGAAATTGTTTTTCGCCGGCCCGGCCGCCTCGCTCGTTGCCCTGGCTCCCGCCGGTCGTCCTTGCAGTGCGGCTGTGGAACTTGAAGACCGGGCAGCAGTTTGCTGAGCTGGGCAAGACCAGCAGCATGATCACCGACACCGTGCGCGCACTGGCCGTGTCACCTGACGGCAAAATAATTCTGTCCGCCGGAGATGATCTGGCGCTGAGGGTGTGGACGCCCGGGTGAGACCAACATGCATGCATTCAAACAACTGTTTTCCAAACCTGTAAACCTGTAATAAATGATACAAACCCTTTTGTTACTAGCAATAATATTATTTGGCTGTCAAGGTTGCAAGGCACAGCCTAACACTATTGCTGCAAGGCAGAGTGAAGTCACTGCCTCGTCTTCCTCCCCGTGGGCCATGGCGCCGTGTACAGCACCTGTACGGCGGCGCATACACGATGCGCATATTCCATCCTAATCCTCCATCCTCCCCCCCGCGCAGGAAGCCGTCTGCCGAGGGCGCTGAGGCGGGCTCGAATTTGGAGACCGGTGGGGGTGAAGGTCATCAGCAGGCCGAGCTGGAGCCGGCCAAGTTGTGGGCGACCGCTACCTCAGTCAATCTGCAGGTATATTATATATGGCAAATATGTATGTAACACACATATATTATGTATATGTTATGTATGTGACATATGTATATGTCTATATTACATGGGTGTTGACGTTGCTTTCGGCCAGTGAATGATGAATGGTGGCGCGTCGAGTTCCTCTTTGTACGAGAGGGAACATCGCACGTGAGCACATGTCTGCATGTACAAGAAAGGGAGATTCTGTTTATTTGTGTCTCGTTCCGTTGGCTGGGGTTTGTTGCCTGGGGGTTTGTTGCCTGGGGGTTTGTTGCCTGGGGGTTTGTTGCCTGGGGGTTTGTTGCCTGGGGTTTTCGTCCACGAATGCTAACCGCGATGTCGTCGGGATCTGTTGTTGTGCCGTTATATGTATTTGTATGTTGCTTCACGGCCCCAAGAGCGGATGCGAGGAGACGGCCATGGACATAGCCAAGGCAGCGGCACGCGTGACGTTGTTAGAGCTGGGTGCTAATAATACCCCATTCTTTGCTTGGGACCCTTCGCTGATGACATGCGCTGCTGTCCGCTATGTCACCAGGTCCTGCATGTTGAGCCTGCATTTGTATGTCCTTCACCAAATAGGAGATAACCATATATATTTTTTATATCATTACAGTATATGCCCCAAACAAAGTGCGGCTACCGTGCGCGCTCACAACCCTCCCTCTTTTAAACCCTGCGGGCTCCTTTGGCCGACTCTCCCGCCCTATTTGCTGGTGACACAGGAAAAGCCCCACAGGCGGGTCATTCGGTGCATCGCCTTCAGCGCAGACGGGCAGCTGGTAAGGTGGCTGTGGCTCCGGCTGGGGCTGGGCCTCGTAATAAGACTCTGGCTGTTGGAGCCCTGCTGCTGCATCTGCTGTTCTGTGCTGCTACTGCACTGCTTGTCCTTGTAAAAGCCGCCACCTTTCCCACCAATACGCTGATTTTGTCGCCCCGTGATCACCGACCTGCTGACATGCGTCTACTGCGTGCAGTTCGCGACGGGCTCTGACGATGACACCAGCACCAACACCGTGGCGCTATGTCTGTGGGAGACCCAGGGCTTCCGCATCCGTGCCGTCCTGCGAGGCCACATCGGCGCCGTGAAGTGTGTCGCCTTCACGCTGCGTCCTGTGGCGACTGTCGACGGCCAGTCGGCTTCAGCACGCGACCTCCCCCCGCAACACGTGCTGGCATCGGGCTCAGTGGACCGGTGGGTGTGGGACTCCGGCTGCTGCATGGTGGGGTCCCTTCCTGAAATCACCGGCGCCCCGTGCCGGCGTGCTCTTGCTTCCCGGGTCCGGGCCACCCAATACCATCCCGGCGAAGACCATGTCTGTGAAGACCATGTGCACACCAACACACCTCGTGCCTTGTGCGGGTGCGGGCCTTCACTGTATGTATGCGCCCCTGCTCATAAGACGCGACGGGAGGCATGTGCGAGGCAGTTATGTGGTCAGATAGGTAACGGCCGGCGCTGCTGTTTGTAGGGTATCACGCGCTGCTGTAGTCGTATCGTTCCATACTTTGTTGCATATTCCATGTTTTTGCTGCCCTTGGTTCTGAACTGCTATCCTGCTTTCCCCACAACACGCATCATGTGCACTCGCGTACTCCAGGACCATACGGCTGTGGGCCACTCGGCCCCCCTCATCATCGCTCTCAGCCAAGGGCAAGGGAGCGGGCGCCTCAGACGCCGTCGACGATGAGCACTGGGCGCTGCCTGACCAAACTCTGCAGGTGCGGCCTCGCTGGACTGGATCATTTCTCACTAGAAGCGCTCTGTGTCACGCAAATATTAGGTATAAATGTGATCGGTAGGTTTCTCAGGGCAGCTACCGCGCCTTACTGTTTTTGCAAAGAAACAGCGTGAAGTAGGTTCGCGAACGCGCAATTTTTTTACGGTGATGCGTGGTGGGTGTTGCGCGCGCAGGGCCACGCTGCAACGGTGCGCGCGGTGGCGTTCAGCCCGGACGGCATCAAGATGGCCTCTGCTGGCGAGGACCGCACCGTGCGTCTCTGGGGAGTGGCGTCACGGCAGCAGCTGGCGGTGTTTCATGGCCACAACGCGGCTGTGGTCAGTATTGCGTTTGACCCAGATGGCATGGTGCTGGCTTCCTGCTCCGAAACCGAAATCCGGCTATGGGACACCAACAACTACCCACAGGTACGCATGCTGTGCAGTAAAACAGCGCAGTAGTGCCAGAACGGCTAGAAGGGTGGAGGTGAAGCGCGCAGAGCAGATGACGGCCATGGAGGGGTTGGCTGTTCCTAATCAGCTACTTCTTATCTGTCTGTCAGACAGCCTAACGGGCGGGCTTTTCCGCGTCGGCTAGTTGATGCCTTTGGCATTGGCAGCAGCTGCGGTTTGCGCACCACATGTATGCATCTCATCCTTCGCCCCCGCGGCTTACACGCACGTACGCATGCAAGCTCGCTCGGATGATGCGCAAGTCTTGGTTTTATATGCTTTTGCTTGCATCCCCACCTATGTGCTCTTGGAACCCTTCCCCGTCTGTTGCCACTGGGTTGCTGTTTTTTTGCTCCATGATGACATGAGCAGGTGACGGTCATGCACGGGCACCGCAGCGGCGTCAACACGATTTCATATACGACCGACGGCAAGGTACGTGCGTGCGTGCGTGCGTGCTTTATACATGCGCGGCCCGGGTATGCGTTGTAACACCAGGCAAAGAGTACTCAGTTGGGAGATGCCAGGGGAGCTGATCCCTCTTACATGCGTGGGGCTGCAACGAGTCCCTCAGACGAGACCTGAGAAATGTCCTCTACTGGACGCCATCCTAACATGCTGCGTCATCGGCTGAGAAGCTGTTTCCTATAGCTTTCCGTGTGACTCTGCCCGTGCATGGAAGCTATGGAAAGCTGCACTTGATCGACGCACTCAGTCACCCACACGGTGATTCAAATACGGTCTTACGTTCTGGATGAGACCGTGCTGTACCACTCCCTGTCCCGTTGCGCGCTGTTGCTGCAGTTCCTGGCGTCCGGCAGTGATGACGGCGGGCTTGTGGTTTGGAAGGACAGCGGTGAAAATAAGTGGACCAAGGTGCGCAGCAGCAATAAGCAGCAGCAGCAGCAGCCGCACCAGCACCAGCCGGAAACCCGTGGTATGGGGCGCGGTAGCCTCCTCTGCCGCCGCCGCTGGGGGCCGTTGGGAAGGGTGGGCGGGAATGCGTGTATTGCCGGAGCTGGATATTTGGCGGTGCGGTACGCTGCAGTTGCTCCTCCTCCTCCTCCTCCTTCGGAGCTTTCTCCTCGTTGTTTGCAACTGATTGTGGACGTCGATCTGGCAGTCCGCCAGCCGGGGGTGGGCGGAGGGCGTGAACCCCCAGGGATGAGATGAGGGGCGCAGCTGTCGATCTCCCGTCGCACCGTGTATTGGGCTCCGTAATACTTTTTTATTGGTTATACCGTATTTCCTTCCCCGCCGGGACCGCACCTCCAGATCCCAAAACATGTACGTAAACATTCACTTATAAAAAGTGGCATTATACATCCGGCCTCTTGCAGCATATGGTAGGTCTAGGACTCCATCCTTGGTCGGGGCCTGTCCAGGTGTCCACATGGCTGTGGAGATCGATCCTCTCTCTCTCCCCACCTCTCTCTCTCTCTGCGTGTGTCTCTCGCTCACCACCTCTCTATCTACCTCTCTCTCTGTCTCTCTCTCTACCTCTCTCTTTCCTGACTTTCCTTAACGACGCACCTGAATGCTACCCGGGGGGCCCATGGATCCCCCGCCACATGTCCTCGCCTCGGCCCCGTATGTACACACACATACACATACACATACACATACACATACACATGTACACACGCACCCCCGTGCTCTACAGTGTAAGGTCATACCCCGCGATGACACGGGCAAGCAAGGGCACAGCGGCAGCATCATCGCTCTGGCCTTCAGCCCTGCAGACGAGGATGGCGGCTGTATGCGCAACCAAAGCGGCGCGCATCTTTTGGCCACCGCATCGGCTGACAAGACCATACGGCTGTGGCTGGTGCAGGTAAGTAGCATGTGAACATGCGTGTGTAATGTGATCTATGTAACTAATGGGAGAGACACACGGGCTGTCGCGGTGTGAGGGCGGAAATGCATACCTGCACACACATGTAATTCTTTTTGGACCATTAAAAACGTCAAGACCAGCAGAATGTCGTTCTGCGGTTGTACGCGCACGCACGCAGATCCTTCGTGTTTGTTTTCTTCAGCAGTTGTTTGGTGCAAGAGACTAGTGCGCGTCTCTTTTCCTTAGGAAAGGATTAGGTAATTCGTGGGGAGTTTACCGGCCACTTGTGCTCTACCTCCCCCCCCCTGTGTGCGTGGTGTGTGGGGTGTGTGTGCGTGTTTTATGCAGGAGGGCGGGAAGATGTCGGAGGATCAGGCCGAAGCCATCGCCGCAGTCGCCAACCTCCTCCGTCGCAAGGGCAAGCTGTCACACCTGGCGGAGATACAGAAAAAGGATTTACAGGTTAGCGAGCGGTTGTATGGATGTAAAGGGTGTGCGGATGGACCCTGAAAACACAGCACGCCGAATGGAACCTGAGGGCGGGCGGCAGAAACGTCGGTTTGGGTTTCCACAAATGATGCAATCACGTGAATTTAACAAATTTTAGTGGATACAGATTAGTAATTGCGAGGGTTTAACTTAGGGTTTTCCCTTATGATTCCGGGGGTTTTATGGTTGTCGCTAAATAGGGCTCCGTGGTCCAGGAAATGGAGCTGCCTGCGGAAACTGCCTGCGAAAAATGGAGCTGCCTGCTGCTGTGGTTGGTTTGACTTCTTTTCTTTTTCGACTGTTGTTGTTGTTGTTGCTGCTGCTGCTGCTGCTGCTGCTGCTGCTGCTGCTGCTGCTGCTGCTGCTGCTGCTACTGCTGCTGCTGCTACGTGCAGGGCGGCGGTAGCAGGGTCGGTGCTTCGGATGATGGAGACGGAGGAGTTCGCATTGAGCTTCTGGGCGTGGTCCAGGGCCATGACGGCAGGTAGGCGGGTGTGCGGGTGGGTGTAGGGTGGGGCCCCTGGGGGTCATGCGTGGTTGTTATGGCACGGATGGGTGCATGTGGAACCCAAATGATTGCCACAACGTGTTGGCCAACGTGGGCGGCCAACATGTACGACACACACAGTTGAGATGTACATAGATACATACAGATACACAAGAGATACACAAATACACGCAGTGTCAGATTAGGTAGCTGCCGTCGTCTCGTGTTAGGCCCGCGCGGGTGATGTAAAACACGCAATCGGTGTGTTTGTGGCCAGGCCTCTAATCAGTTGACGTATCACACAGACCTCACATTACTTATAGCGCGGAGGGCATTCAACGAGGAAGGTGACTCCCTCGCACCTTGATGCATTTCATACTACATTCGCTACATGGTTCAGCGTTTGACGGAGGTGCGTGGGTTTTGCTTTTGATTAAGATTACATACATTACAAGAGTTAAAAGTTCCGCACAAGTGCGATGTCTGTCCGTAAAAGCCGGGGGTTCCCCGTGGGCGGTCATACATGGACGCCACATCATTGTGGCGCCCAGAGTGCGGACTCTGGCGTGGCGTCCTCTCACGCCAGCTCGCCTGGACTCAGTACGCGGCTCTGAGCGCGATGTGCCCCCGGTTGATCTCCCAGACCTCCTAGATAAGGCTACCCACAGCTATATATGACGGGAACTTATATTATATAGCACACGTGGTGGACGTGTTGGTGGACGACTGGTGCCGTGCCGTGCCGTGCCGTGTCTTTTGTCCGCACCGTACCTTTTCCTCACCAATAACACACGTGCACACCGTGCACACGCATGTATTGTGTGTGCTCGCAGCGTTCGAGCCATCGACTTCAGCGGTGATGGCAACCTGCTGGCGACGGGCGGCAACGACCGCACCGTGCGCCTGTGGTCGGTCCCCCCCAAGCCCACGGAGGAGCCCATCACGCCCTTTCTGGTCCTCTCGGTACGGCCGTGCGCGCATGTGTTTCCGGTGAAACTGAGACGCTGATTCATTTACGTGTATTTTCTTACCTTTGTGCGTATGTATGTTGTTACAGGGTGGTTAACTTCGCCAGCGGCCCCTTTCCAGGGCAGTCCCTGCTCTCCCCTGCTAGAGGGGCACCCTAATCCGTCACCCCATCCGACTTCAGAATGTATTCGTTGGGTTCGGCAACTCACCACCAGCATCCAACCAAATCTAGCGGATCAACGGCGCATCAACTTAGTTCCTGGTCAGCTCGCAAGTTGATTGAGTGCGTATGTATGCACGTCTGCGTGCGTGTGACACACCGTTGATAGCGTTGGGAGGCTCCATGGGAACCCGCCATTCATTAGTTGCCCCAGCGGGCGGGCCATTTCCCCTTGCCGGCTTGTTGCTTAAGAACGCCATAAAACGCAGATAAACACACGGTGCCGAACGGGCTACGTTTGAGAAGGGTTTTGGACGGAGAACTCACAGCCAAAGCGTCCTCATACTTGCTGCGGGGTCGCGAACCCTGCTGGTCCCAGGGCCTGTACATGCATGCGGGTAGCTTTTCCAATCCATTTCCTTGACTGGCAACGTATATCTACGTCTATATCTCTATATCTATATCTGAATATCGTGCAGGGCCACACCGACGTGATCCGCTGCGTTGCCTTCAGCCCGGTCGCCTCCAGCCGCCTGATGGCCAGTGCCAGCGAGGACCGCACCGTGAGGTTGTGGCACGTGGCTGCGGCGGGACACGGCACCAGTCGGCTACACTGCGAGCTGCGCGGACACGACTCCTGGGTCATATGCTGCGCCTTCAGCAGCCACGGCCAGCGCATAGCTACGGCGTCGCTGGTGGGTATAACGGGTCGCTTTTGGATCGTGTGGTGGGTTGCCCGTCGTGTTGATAGACCGCGTGGATAGTGGTGTTCTGACGGCGCCATAGAGCGAGGGCGCCCAAATGTCGCCCCATCTCCCAGTCCTATCAATTAAGGCCAGAAGGGCGAGGTGGCCGTTTTGATCAGCAAGGGGGGTTTGCCTCAGCGTGTTTTGGCCTGATGATCCGCAGTCGATGCGGTCGTCGATGTGGTGTTCCCGCAGGGCAGGCCGCGCGCCCTGGTTGAAAGCGACCCCCCTGTCAGTAACGCCTTAGCTCATCTAACTATGTCGCTGACGTGTCATTGTGTCATTGTGTCATCGTGTTTTGTGGTGCGTTACTTGCTTACGTTGCTCCAGGACAAGACGGTGAGGATATGGAGCTCCATTACTGGTAAGAGGGTGCCGGGGCTGGAGGCCAGAGCGAGGCGAGAGGGCAAGGATTAAGGGCGAGGGCGAGGGCGAGGGCAAGGATTAAGGGCGAGGGCGAGGGCGAGGGCGAGGGCGAGGGCGAGGGCGAGGGCGAGGGCGAGGGCGAGGGCGAGGGCGAGGGCGAGGGCGAGGGCGAGGGCGAGGGCGAGGGCGAGGGCGAGGGCGAGGGCGAGGGCGAGGGCGAGGGCGAGGGCGAGGGCGAGGGCGAGGGCGAGGGCGAGGGCGAGGGCGAGGGCGAGGGCGAGGGCGAGGGCGAGGGCGAGGGCGAGGGCGAGGGCGAGGGCTGCTCACCGCGCATGTTGGACTGGCTAGCCGGTAGCCGCCATGGTCATCATCGTGTGAGCGTGTTTTCGCTGTCCCCTCTCTCTCTCCCCCTCTCAGGTGAACAGCAGCTAGTGCTCCGGGGCCACTCGTCGGGCGTCACGAGCGTCGCCTTCTCGCCTGACTCCATGACCCTGGTGTCCGGCGGCGCAGACAACAGTGTACGGCAGTGGAACGCAAGGACCGGGCAGCAGCTGGCCATGATGCAGGTGCGGTGCCCTGGCTGGGTGGATTTGGCTCATAGGAGGCTGCTGGACGGATATGGAGCGAGGACGGACGTACCCCGCAATGCGCGTTTGTGGCGGTGGCAACAGCGGCTGTTCAGCGGTGGCGTTTCCTTCCCTCTGCTGCTGCAGCCTCTCAGTTGTGCGCCTGCTGCGATCCACCCGTGCTGCTATTTCTCTTTCCCTCCTTTCCGCTGCCTGATGGACTTCCGACCGTGGTGGTCTGTGTTCCAAAGAGAATGATGAACTGGGCCGAGGTATCTGTGTCTGTGTCTTTGGCATTCGACTGCTTGCAGGGTCACATCGGCCAGATCGCCACAGTGGCCTATTCGCCCTCGGGATATGCGGTTGCCTCAGGTGCAGCGGACGCCACCATCCGCTTGTGGGACGCGACTAGGGGTCAGCAGATCTCGGGCGTGCAGGTACGCAGAAGCCGAAAGCGGGAAGAAAGCAAGGGCGTGGCAGGGTGAGGGAGGGAGGGAGGGAGGGAGGTATGAGCTACAAGCAACGGGTCAACTGCCGGCGGACGG